ATAGGTTTGAATCTTTTATTTTGTTTGATTGGTTGAAAAGGTCAATTTTATTTATGGTCTATTTCGAATTTATTACAAATATAATTCTATTCAGTAGTTTGGTTCATTATAAATCTTATTATATAATATATTTAAATTAATTAAAATAATATTAATTTCGATATATTAATTTAAATTATTAATTTTATAATTGATTAATATAAATGATGATAATAATATTATTATTAATATGATATTATTAATAATTAATTATATATAAAAAATTAATATATTTCAAAAAATATTTTTATATTAGGGACTAAAATATTTTTAAAATTTAATATTTTAAAAATATTTTAAAAATTCTAAATATTTTTTATATTAGATAAATTAAATTTCAAAATTTATGTAACCATATGGATTATTTACATAATTTAATAACTGATTTCATCCATTTAAGTTGTCATATTAGCAACTAACACTACATTAGCAAAGTCAATGTTCATGTTATCAAGTCAATGATCACGTTAAATAAAAAAATAAAAAATTAATTATTAGATTAAAATTATTTAATTAAAATAATATAATGATTAAATTTATATAAATTATAATATAAAAATTAAATTTTAAATTTTGGTAAAATATAGAAACCTTTAGCATAATTTGACCTATATTTATTATACCAACATATCCCATAACCAGTTTTTCGTTGAATAATAAGTAAGGACAACATATATAGAATCGAAAATAAAAGAAGCTAATCTCCAAAAGGTCCCAAACAAATAAGCAATTTCAGTAGAAACCTTTTGATGCTTGGCATGATATGGCTCACGTTGATTCTGTTTATCTTATTCAAACAGTATGGTTGGTTCTGATGGCATCTTTAATGAGCAATGCTGCCATATCTTGCATTTTTTTTTTAATGAATGGATTCTGCTCCTTTTTAGGGTTTTCAATGAACATTAGAAGACTGCTTTCACACCCTTCAAAATTTTTTTAGGTGACATTATTAAATTCAAGAATAACCCAATAAAGGAGGGATGTTATGATATGATTTTAGGATTGAATATTGAAAATTTGATCTACTACATGATGAGAATTATTCTTGTCATATCCCTCCATCCATTTTGCATTGAGGTTAACTTTAATTAATTTGCTAATTAATTTTCCTTTCAGTTCCACCAATTACTTATGTGGTAATAAAAAATATTCGTGAAAATTCTTAATTTTTTTAATAGAAAAAAAGTAGCAATTTAAGAACAATAATAAAGATTATAAATATTAAAATTTGAATATCAAATTTTTTAAATTTTAAAAATAATTACATGAATCAACTACATTAAATATCAAATTCAATTTATCATGAAAATATGAATATATATATCCAAACAAAATAGGCATTCCTTGAACATATATACCTAAAGGCTACTTGATTTTGATTATGTAAATTTGAGAAAAGCCATCTAATTCAAGTGTTTATGTTATATATATATATATATATATATATATATATATAAAAGAAAAAAATTGGGTATAAAGCAAGATTTGACATTCTAGCCCCTTATACATTATTAGATAAGAATAATGCAATTGGAAAGTGTGATATATATGAACATAAAATTATCATTTCCAAAGGACATGTACAGCTTCTAGATTCATAGCTCTTCATTTTGCATTTTGTCATGTTTTCCTAACCCCCCAAACCAACTACAGCAGTCTAAATTGACAATCGTTATTATTATTATTTTTAAACAGAAACAAAAATATACTGTTTTAATTCTAAGTTTTGAAAGATGTTCAGTGGTGAGTGATTATAATGGAACAGCCTTTGAATTATTATTTAATTACTTATAAAGATTATTATATATCTAACTTTAGTATTTTTTAATTTTCTTTTGACCCACAAGGAATATTGTCTGATACCCTAAACAACTTTTATACTCCATCACTTAGAAATTAAGTCCATAAATTTGGTATACTTCAAAACTTTCAATCAAATCAAAGCTAAAATTTCCATAACTAAACTCGAAATTCTACAATCAATTTTCAAATCAAAAGTTGGATTCATAATTTGTCTCATTTAGCATTTACTTTGGCCGAATCAGATTAAACCAAGTTTTAAAAAATTTATGATTCATGATTAATGCACTCATAGTAATTGCAGCCGATATAACGATAAAAAGTAATCTTTTCTTATTTCGTTAATCTCATTGCTCACTCGTTCTCAAGATTCAATTCCCAAAATTTTTAATTAATATGTTTCATATTATAATTATTTTAATTAATGTCTCAAATTATAATTATTGAAAGACGTAAGATAAAACAAATGATATATATGTTCAAACACACACACATACATATATACATATATTATAAATTTATTATATGTATGTATATATATACATACATAAATTATCATATTTATTGATAGTAAAATTTTTAAATTTTGCTTAATAAGATGATACATATTTTTTAAATATAATAAAAAAATTATTATGAAAAATTAAACATATAACAATCTCTCTTAATTCTATCTATAAAATTAAAAAATTTCACTACCATTACATAAAAAAAAAAAATACATATATATATACATAATATATAATTTAACAATGTCACGTAGCATAATACATAGGGAAGATACAGTGATGATTACTAAAAAAAGAAAAAAAAATAAAACAAAACAAAACAAAAACGGTGATGATTAGTCATAAGGACCAAATGGGAGAATGAAAAGAAAAATGGGGGAGCTGTGGTTAGGGCTGTGTTAGGGTGGAAGAGCCTTCCAGACTTTTAAAGTTTGTAAAAGTGACATAATCCACCACCACTTTTTTATCAATTTTTTTTTTTTTCCAAAGTTGAAGCCGACGAAACCCGCTCGAGACTGTTTGGCCCACCATCGCATTTGTAGCTTTCATTGGTTCCTTAAACAAAAACTAGTTCAATTTTTCAAAAATGCTTTCAATTATAAGCCAAATTATTGGAACAAATTGGCCTCTTTTGCATTAATGAGGGCAATAGATTTTACACAACCTTATGCAGAGATATCATTAATCATTGATTAAATACAAATTTAATTAAATTGGATCATACAAATATTTGTAAAATATGATATCTAAAGTTCAAATTTTAGTATATATAACATTACTTTTTATTTTTAAAATTTGATTTTTTGTTAAAAAAAATTTATATTTGATTCATTATTAATGTATAGATTTAATATGATCTCAGTAAATAAAATAATATTATTTAATTAATGAACAAATATTAACTTTTAAAATAAATATACAAAAACTTACTATTTTTTAAAAAATTTATTCAATAATAAAATAATATTATTTAATTCACTTCATTAATGATGCGGTATTATTTAAGTTATTAATAACATATAAAATTTATACCATTTATAATTGGTAGTATATCAAACATAAATCCTTAAAAAATAATAGATATTTTTAGATTCAACAAAAAATTATAATAATGAAAGTGTTAATGAAATCTTAATATAAAGATTAAAATCAAAGTTTATGATGTGAAGATATTGAATTTGAATTCTTTATTTTCATTTAATATGCCATTTGTTGTTTAATAAAAATTAAAAATGCAAAAAATATTTGACAATGAAATGAAAAACAATCAGTAAAGAACATATTGACGATCAACCAAAAATATTTTTGAGAAGATATCTCAGTAATAAACTGAGAATTAGTTTCATCATATAGCGTATAAAGTTTTTATTTACAAAAAATGATTAAAAAGTATAAAACAAAGAAATTTTGATGTAATTAATGAATAATAACTATAAGCTTAAAATCTATTTAGATAGAAAGGGTGTGACTTGTGTTAAGTCAAATCATAATTGTCTTTCTAATTGGTGTATATTTTATATGAGAATTGAAGAAAACCAAAGGCTTTCTTTTTTTTTTTTTTAATGCCTCAGATAGTTATGACGTCTTTTGGAGAAGGATAAGAGCCAAATGTGACAAAGATTTTTTTTTTTTAATCGTAAGACAAAGATTCTTTTAATGTTCATATTATATACATATATATATATATAGATTTTGTCTTAAATGTTTCAAATTTCGAATATTAAGACCTAAGAAATGAAATTTATAAAATAAACTAAATCATTATATAATTTATTTTTTATAAAAAGTTGTAATTTAAGAAAAAAAAGTTGCAAATATTAAAATTTAACTTTGATATGTTAGGTTCAAGTTTTATTGTGTATGTGTTTGAGATACCAGGAGTAGCATTTTATGGTGATGGTGACAACGGATGCATGTTCTGCATCAGGGATTTGAGTGTGGACTGTGGAGATAGAGATGTACTGCATTGACTAGCTCGAAACGGTGATACTTGGAAAGGATAAAATATTCCGTATCCAAATATGTTCGAATGATCATGCAATATACTCTGAAAACGTTAGCTTGAGCTGTCTAGGCAAGCAAGCATGCATCATCACTGTATAGTCAACAGAGTAATGTTAGTCTGATAACTGTTGGTTTCCTCGCAAAGAACCTGCTCAGAGTTCTTGTGATCTTTTACTTAAAGCAAACTCAGCTGTACAATATTTTATGAATCAAGAAATTCAGTTGGTCTTTTGATTCTTTCACCTCCAATGATATAATACTTGGATTCTGACAGATTGATTTCCACGTCTTTCATTCAGGGATATTTCCATAATTTGGAGGACAAAAAACTTGCTCAAGATTTTATTCTTTCAAAGTGGGAAAAACTTGTTAGTTGTGCGCATACGAAGCAGAGAGAGAGAGAGTTGGGCGTATGACCCACGGTGGAGAAAATCTAAGTAATCCAACCAAACCAACTTCCTGCCTCAAAATTGAGGCCATCTTGCCGTGACACTGTTCCCATAAGCCAAACCCCTTGCCTTGTCTTCATTAAACAGCTCTCCACTTTTCATGCTCACCTTTGCCACTTCTCTAATCCACATTAGTTAATTAATAATTATTAATTATCAGGAAGGTGTTACAGGTAATGGGATGGTATTTGAACCCAGAGGCAATAAAAGCCTAAAGACCACGTTCACTCCCCCTTTGTATAGAAAACTATGCTGCATCTTCCATGCAAATGCAAATCCCTCAGTTTTTGAACCTGACCATGTTCACTTGCTTCCTTCATAGTCCAGTTAACCTTTCTTGGATTTTGGGATTGTAATTTTATATATACTTTACCCGTAACCCACACGGCCTCAAGCTCTACTTTGAGCTTTTTTTCTAGCAAATCTAGTAAAATACTTTTGTATTAGCGATGGCAGAGTTTCAGTCCCAGCAATACAACTGTGGAGTCAAGGGCTCCGCAGAGAGAAAGGGACATGGTTTCTCCACCAAGTGTGCTTCCTTGGTTAAGCAGCAACGTGCTCGACTCTACATACTGCGCCGCTGTGCCACTATGCTCCTTTGCTGGTACATCCATGGTGATGACTAGCAGGCAACAAACGCACACCCTTCCTCAAATTATAGGCTTCATCAATCAATGTTAATCCTGTTTGGTTCTATGGGGCTATAGTGTGGTATATCTACAATTTTCTCCTAGTTTCCTTTTGTCTTTTTGGCCTGATTGGCGTAATCCTATTGGGTTTTGAGGGGGACAGGAGAAGTTTAATGCCGCACTTTTGCTTTTTCACCAAGCTGACAATAATCATCATATCGATGGAGTTGGTATATGTTATATCAATAGCTGCTTGCCTGTTGCTGTTAAGGTTAAATGTAACTCGGTATTATGCCTTTTTAAAGTATACTACTTTTTTCTTTTTCCTTCACTTACCCAACCCTCTGAATCCTTTTTGGGTAATTGGGGAAGTGCTATAAAGTAATCTGTGAGCTGTGAGTATATATATAATAGTAGGATCTGATAAATTTCATGGAAGAGTCTGTTCGATTTGCCAGCTTTTTTCTGCACATGGAATTAAATGTTAATTGTCTGTCCTGAAGAGATGATAGAAGTTTGGGATTTGGGAACCAAGCATGAACAAGATAAGTGAATGGCGAGATTTCAGATTGAAAATTATTGTTTGCACAATTGGGGGACCATATATCTTAAATCTCAGTAATTGTGCTAAGATTAAGGCATAGTTAATGCATATTGCATCCTGGCAATATATATTGTGAACTTCTATCTCTAATGTTTGCCATGCGTGTCCCAAAAAGGCATCAAGCAACCTAAACAGTGAACAGTTTTCTTTGTTTAATCTTTTCCATGGTAACTGTTTTATGCAAGTGGAGTTTGGATTTCAGGACCAGTTGGTCAGTTTTTGGATTCTAACATTGGCTTACAAAGCTACTCCACAAATTTGATTACTACATTTTTTTGATTAAATTTGTTGAACATTTTTTTGTTTCATGCATCATTAATGTTCTTTTGGCCTACTTATTGATCATAATGGAGCAGAGCAGACAAAATTAATAAAAAAAATAGAAAAAACTAGAAATTAAAGAGTAGTTAAGAATTCAAATTGCTTTATCCGAAACAATATGCCATGAGATAATATTCTTACAAATAAATGAAACTTACATCTTCTTCCATTTACCAAAAAAGAAAAAAAAACAAAAAAACAGGATATTAAACAATTATATATGTCTTCTAGCAAATTGAATTCTTTATCTCATAATTTACATTCTTTCCAAACTCACGTTTTATAGCCAGATTGGAGGAACATATATCAGCAGTCCCATTTCCTTATAACAGGGTCCCTTGCACTCCTGGTGTATTATTTCAAACTACCATGGAAATGGGGGATGTGGGAACAAGTTTCAACAGTTTCCAATAGAAAGTTTAGCTCTCAATTCCTTTCTCAAAATTTTGCCTGATGGTGCCTTTGGGATGGCTTCAATGAAGAACACACGACTGATTCTCTTGTAGTACACAACCTGCACCATTGCAGAGTATATTAGTAGTATATTCACGTCACCGTTTACCGAGACAATTATCGTAACGGTTTTGAGATCGTCAGACGTAAAATGAGTTTTTTAAAATCGAGAAAAATAAAAGGGGAGAGGTCACCACCAATCTTTGTTAGGGTGTGATTGACCATCCAAAAATTTATATTTTTAATAAAACTATAAAAATGGATTTAAAGTTTATCAAAAAGATAAATTTTGGTCAACGAATAATCAGGTTGGGTTCGAAAGTCGATTACGTGTGGGGAAGGATTAGCACCCCCACAACGCCCATAAATTGGTACCATTCAACTATGCGCTATTTTCAATGTTGGATAAAAATGATTTTGACTTGAAATTTAATACTAATTCCCTTCGTTTTTAAAAAAATATTTTTGCTAAAATTTTTATTTAAAAATATTGATAAAATCTTTAAGTTAAAGAATTATCTTAAAATTCTTCAACATTTAGGCAGAATTTGAAATAACTATTTTCGCTTAAGATTTAACACAATAATCCTTAAAATGAAATAACAATCTTTATAGAAAATAATTGTTAATGACTCTCCAACATCTAGGAAGAGTACTAAAAAATTTTTCTTTCGGAATGTTATTTTTATTTTATTTTATAATATCACAAAATTTTTTTAAAGTATTATTCTTTTTATTATAAATATTTTATTATCAAACAGTAAATTAAAGATAAAATAATGTAGACAATTATTGATAATAACATGCTAATGTATGTATACTAATGAATGTCATGAGAAATGAAATGCAATTTAATAGTTGGATTCTTAAGTATAATGAGACCACCCCGACTCTCCAACATCTAGGTAGAGCTTAGGTGCGACTGTTTATATTTAAGATCCCAATTTTTTATTATACTTTTTATTCATTAATCTTATTATTAAAGCAAATTAAGAAATCGTATGAAAAGACTTAACGAAGTAAAATTTCTTAAATACCCCATCATCTAGGCGAGCATTCGAGAACAAATTGCTTCAAATAGAATTTTTACACGTATCCTTAGGATTTTTAGGAAGTTTTGAGTGAGGGCTTAAGTAGAGGTTTTGAAGGTTTGGTTTTAAGGTTTAGAGGGTTTTAAAGCTTGAATTTTAGGATATGGAAGGTTTAGGGTTTTGATTTTAGTGTTTGAAGATTTTGGGGTTTGGGTTTTGAGGTTTGAGGTTTTGATTTAAAGGCTTGGATTTTAGAGATTTTGAATTTTGGGGGGGTTTTGATTTTAAGGATTTCGGATTTTAAAAGTTTGGATTTTGGGGTTTGGATTTTAAGGTTTCAGATTTTAAGATTTTGGATTTTAAGGGGATTTTGGGTTTTAGGGGGTTTTAGAAACTTAGGATTTTGAAAATTAAAAATTAGTATTTAAGGTTTAAGTAAAACGCAAACATCTCTAAAAATCTCCATCATCTTGGCAGACTTTTAGAGCATGTTCAATTTTTTATAACTTTTGAAAACTAATTAAAAATTTCTTATATATATTTTTTATGAAAAATTATTAACAATAATTCTCCAACATCTAGGCGGAATTATTTTTAGAAAAATGTTTTTATTCCATCCAACATCTAGGCAGAGAAAATAATAAAAATTTTTTTTTTGGAGCATTTTAGTATATTTTTAATTATTACTTGTTTTTAATTTTATTATTATTAAAACAATTAAACATTTATTTTAACAAATTTATAAATTTATCATGCATAAATATAAAAATATACTTAAAATAACAAAAATAATAATATAAAAAAATTCAAAAAATTCAAAAAAAAAAAATTTTTACCTGAACCGAACTGGTCAACAATCGTTAGGTGAGCGGGTCCACGGGTCGGGTTGCGCGGATCCCGGATCAGATCCGGGTTAATGCGCGGATCCTCCTTGATCGAAACGACGTCGTTCTGCTTCTTAATCCTTTATATATAACCGAAAAAAAAAATTTTGTTCATTTGGTTTCTGTTTTCAAAAAAAAAAAAAGAGAAAGAGAGAGAGAGAACTCTGGGGGGAGAGCTCCAGCAGTCTCGCCGTCCGGCCACCGTTTTAGAAGTTTTTCAGAAGTTTTTTTCAACGAGATCTTCCTAGATCCGATGTTCGTTTTACCAGAAACAGCTCCGATCAGCGTAGATCAAGGCTCAAAGTTTCTGTTTCCTTTCTTTTTCTCTCTTTTTTTTTATGAAAAAGACACTGATTATTTCTTTGCTTGTTTACAGGACTTTCTGGTGCTGAGGTTCCTCCCTACGGGGAGGACTGTTTGACTTTTTTTTTTGTTTCTATTTTTGTGTTTCTATTTTCGTGGTTGGTGTGGGTTGAAGGATTTTCTTTGGTGTGTCTAGGTGTCCGAGAGGGTATTGTAGGTAGTGTGTCTGGAGGTGAAGAATTGTCCGAAAGATTTAGAGAAGGGATATCCGAGAGAGAGGTTGAAAAGGGTTCGAGAAGGTTTTTTTTTATAAGGGGTTCAGATCCGTATTTGAATGGGTTCAAAAGGGGATCTAGGTGATTGTAGGGTAACCGTAAGTGGCTGTAGGCTGATGAGTATGGGGGCTGGTCAGAGGGCTGTAGAATGGCTCGTCGGGGGCGACAGCAAGCCAGCCACCCTACTTTTTATTTTTTTTCTCTTTTTTTTTATTTTTTTATGTTTTTTTATATAATTAATAATTATTATTTTATTTTAAATTATTATTATTATTATTAAAATTAAAACAGTAAATCCGGACAAAATCGATGTCTACAGCTGCCACTCTTTACACATTACTGAGAATCAGGAATAGGACAAAGACAAAGACAACGATTTTATCCGAATCATTTTTTTTTTTGTTTTTAAAAACACAAAACGATTGGGATGATACCACAAGTCGAAAAATAATAAATCAATTGAGATAATATCACGAATCGAATTTATGCCCGAAAATCTTACAAATCACACCCGGAGGTCTTACAGAATTGCTCGAAAGTCTTAAAAATCATGCCCGGATGTCTTACAGAATTGATTGAGATAACACCGTAAGTCAAAAGATAAAAAATTGATTGGGATAACACCGCGAATCAAATTTATGCCCAGAGGTCTTATAAATCATGCCCAGAGGTCTTACAGAATCGATTGGAATAACATTACAAGTTAAAAGATAAAGAATCGATCGAGATAACACTGTGAATCAAAATTATGTCCGGAGGTCTTAAAAATCATGTCAAGAGGTCTTAAAAATTATGTCCAGAGATCTTAGAGATTATGTCCGGAGGTCTTATAAATCTCAAAATCTTTGAATGCTCCTCATAATCGAGGCAATGAAACTTTAAAATTTTAAAATTTTTTAATCTTGAAAGTTATGCGTAAAAGCTTTTAGAGATTATGCTTGGAGGTCTTACTAATCTCAAAATCTTTAAATGCTCCTTATAATCAGAGGCGATGAAACTTTAAATTTTGAAAATCTTTTAATCTTGAAAGTCATGCGCAGAGGCTTTTAGAGATTATGTCCGAAGGTCTTACAAATCTCAAAATCTTTAAATGTTCCTCATAATCAGAGGCGATGAAACTTTAAAATTTGAAAATCTTTTAATCTTGAAAGTTATGCGCAGAGTCTTTTAGAGATTATGCCCGGAGGTCTTACAAATTTTAAAATCTTTAAATGCTCTTCATAATCAGAGGCAATGAAACTTTAAAAATTTAAAAATCTTTTAATCTTGAAAGTCATGCGCAGAGGCTTTTAGAGATTATGCGCGGAGGTCTTATAAATCTCAAAATTTTTAAATGCTCCTCATAATCAGAGGCAATGAAACTTTAAAAATTTTATTTTTTTTAAAATATATTTTTTTCAATCAGAGTTAATGAATGCAACCAATGATACAAATGTCTATCTTGATCAAATGATGCTAATGGAAATGTTGATAAAAATACAAATCTCAATGCAAATGCAAGAATGCGAATGCTTGATTTAACTATATTTGACAATGACAATGTTCTTTTCATGTAAATGCTCTTACAAATTCCTTTTCTTATGATGCGGATGCCATGGTAGTGCAAATACGAATTTTCTTATGGTGCAAATGCAAATATCTTGTGCGAGTGCAAATACAAGTGATACAAATGCGAATGTCTTTCTTGTGGTACAGATGTAAGTGATGCAAATGAAAATATCCCTTTCATGATGCACAGATGAGCGATGCAAATTTGAATATCTTAATTTTTTTTAGGTTAAATGTCTTTATCATGATACAAGTAATGCAAATGCAAGATCTTTCAAAAGGTTATGCATCGAGAATTTTTATTCTGGATAGAATTTTGAAACTCTAAAACTTCTTTTGGGGCCAAATAAACTGGGCTTAAATTCATTGAAGGCCAACTAAATTGGGCTTAAAACCTCATTGATGGTCAGATAAACTAGGCTTAAAATTTTATTGATGGCCAGATAAACTGGGCTTAAATGTCATTGATGGCTAGATAAACTGGGCTTAAGCTTCATTAATGGCCAGATAAACTGAGCTTAAAACTTCATTTGAGGCCAGATAAACTGGACTTAAATTTTCATTGATGGCCAGATAAACTGGGCTTAAATTTTTATTGATGGCCAGATAAACTGGGCTTAAAACCTTATTGATGGCTAGATAAACTGGGCTTAAAGTTTTTTTCCTTTTTTTTTAAAAAATTTGGTG